AGTTATACCTTTTTCATGTTGTCGGTTTATGTCCATTTCATTCCACTTATTGTGTTGGGTAGTAGTTTTACAAACGAGATTTCTTGTCTGTTTGAGGATACGCATCTTCACCGTTGATGTTTTATCCAGAATTATAAATATAGGCAAAAAACAACAGGTGTAGTATTTAAGCTTATACATTAAATGAGCCTATAATTTCGGAGGCTCTCAGATAGGAACTAGAACTACTATCGTTTGCAAACTCTTATAGTTTGTCATTAAGCACCTTTTTGAAGGAGGCCAATGTACTTGCTTGACGCATTTCCATTGGCAGTTTATTCCATATCTGTGCATACCTAATCAAGTAAAACTTTTGCCTGGTGGCTGTTTTACATTTTTCGATAGCTACTGTGCCCTTAGTGTGTCTTAGTTTGTAGCCATTGTCATCTGAAAGTCGAGTGCCATTAGTAGAGGTAAAAACTAAGTGGTTTAGAAGCTTATAGTAAAGTGTCAAGTTTAGTCTCAGGCGTCTTAGCCATAGTGTTTCTAGTCCTAGGGTATCACATCTAGTGGAGTAGTTCGCACCACTTTTGGTTCCGAGTAATTTTAACGTGAAGTACCTCTGCGCTCCTTCGACTTTCAATTTATCCTCTATGCGTATACTATTATACATGAATGAACAGTAATCAAATAAAGGACGCACACAAACCTTGTACAACAGAATTCTAGACTCATTTCTGTAGAAGTTCCTGAGTAGAAAGCCAATAAGTCTGCGTGACTTTGACACTTGTTTGGAGATATGTTCAGAAAATGACAAGTTATGTGAATATTTCAGCCCTAGGTCCAGTACAGATTCCAGTCGTTGAAGTGCATGGCCTTGAATTGTCAGGTCAAGTTCTAAATTGTTGCAACCTATGCTTCTACTTCTTACGGATCTGATTGGTCGCTAGAGCTGGTTTCGTTTTTGGCTGCTGTGGCTTAAAGCCACCCCATATTGGTCTTACCACGGAAACTATGATGCTTTTAATGAAAATATAGCTCTGTTCGGACATTGGTGTTGTGCTTTTTTCACCAAGGTAAGCAACGATTATGAACAAAGGAGTAAGTTTTTGCTTTATTAAAGGCCTAGGTACCTAAGATAAAATAGAGTATAATAGTGCGTGAATTAAAAGATTATTGTAAGGTAGATAAGTGATATTTCGGTGAGAAGCGAATTCAAGGATCTGAAAGATTAGAACCTGTAGGAGATGTCTCACGAATTTCTGTAGGTCCCATGGGGTAGCATCTTGACAAGAAGCTGAACAGGTTTGTAGATGGTAGGAGCAAAAGCAGTTTTTGTGATTTAGATCTCTTCGACCCTTATTTTTTCTATTTTGTTAGGGATACAGGCTAGCGTTTAGTTCTCGAACTGCCAAAAAGATGCATTTTGCTGTCCTACAGATCTGAGGGATTCACATTTGTGACCACTACCATATCTGGTGATTATCATGCGCCACCCTCCCTCTTTTTGTACAGTTAGGCTCTCAGAATTTTTTGGTATTAACTGTAGTTGTAGTATTCCATTGCCTTGAGCCCATCGCAATCATACAGTATGCTGCAAATTAATGACTTTCATGACAAATACTTCTCATTCGATCACCAGATACATCGATCCCTAGGGATATTCTTAGCATTATCACCTTTATATATGCATACATGTGTACAATTATTTGTTACAGGTGCCTAGGAATTTGCGCTTACGTTTAAGAAGTATGAAGTATAGAAGTAGCTAGTATTACAGCAACTAAGTTGTAGTCTATTTAGCAGAGTAAAATGGGTAGTGGAACAATTAGTGATAAAACTATGTATCATGATCCTGAAGTAAACAGCCGGTTAACAGAGCTAGTTATGCTAAGCTTTCATGACCGATTTTCATACGGTGCGCATTAGACATGGCAAAGTAACCCTTCAACTTGTGTTAAAAATACTGCGAAATGGTATAAAATTGTACGTTTTAGAAAAGTGTATGAGAAAAGGTGGTTATTGACTGAGTGAAGTCATTTCGACACAAAAATGGCATTGTATCATTAACTGTAGATATATGTAAATATTAAAAGGTGTGGTTGCTAATATAATCATTTCCAGAGTTACTGAAACAACTAAACGACGATTATAGAGAATAGAAAATCAGTAAATTAGTTTAACGTTCGCTGCGTAAGTAGTGGAGTCGAGTTATACGTATGTGACTATACTGAAGACTAGACTGGCTTTCAATTTCCAAACAAGCCAGAGTGGACATATTAATGTGTCTTTCTAGGCTCAGTTTAAACCCATCGGCGTTTTCACAACATCTAATTTCAGATGGTAGTTGGTTCCAAAGTGTGCAATATTCAATGGTGAAAAGGTTTGCCCTAATGGTTTTACTGTGGTAGGTAGTCGTGATTTCACAGTTGATATGATTTGATATTCGCCCACATTATGGATGGATTACTGTGACAATTACTTTGAAGATTAGAGATAAGTGGCAAGTCACTCTCCTTAACCATAGGGTTGCTAGTTCAGTCGTATGTACCTGTCAACATATTCCACTTATTGCTCAAACCCTTTTAAGCCTTCCTTGAGAAATCTCTGAGTAATTTCGAATATTTTTCGGTCTGCACACCCTATGTTTCTACATAGGAGAGCACAATATTCTAGTTTGGGGCGAATTCATGCCTTATATATACCTAATCTTGCTTCTTTAGTGTAAAAGTTACGCAGGATAAAGGCAGTTAGTCGTCTATAGTCAGATACAACCTTACATACATGATCGGAAAAGGTTAAATCTCAGTATGTCTTCCCAAGATCTGTGACTGTTTAGTTTAGAGATGAGCTTACTATATATATATATAGTCATTCTAGGTTTACAGCGCCCAAGGTGTGCCATACAGCGCTTGTCTGGGTTGAAAGTCAGTTGCCATTTCCCGCTCCAATCGAATAGATTGCTTAAGTCATGTTGGATCTTACTTTCTACGCTCGCGTCTTCGTACCCATAATCACATACTGTCTTCAGATCATCTGTAACGATGTACAGCTTGCAATACTCGATCACAGAGACTGTGTCACTTACGAATGAGAGGAATAAAATAGGGCCAAGAACGCTACCCTGTATTATACCACTAGTTATTGGCTTCGGTGAAGACAACGGTGGTTGATTTTGACCAAATCCTCCCTTTCTCTGAGCGAGGAATTTATCCATTTGGGAAGCTTTCCACTTATTCCGTAGGTTTTGTTAGGAGTCTGATACGTGGAACTTTATCAAAGGCTATGCTAACGTCAAGAAATAATGTTGCAACCGTATGCCTATTATCTATTCATTGTTTAATGTGGTGAAAATAATCTAACTAGCAAGTAATGCACGACATTTCACTTAAAAAATGTATTGGGCTGGAGATAGTAGGAAATAAGAGAGTAAATACTAAATGATTCGGGTCTTTACTATCTTTTCCATTACACGTGAAACTATAGACGTGATGTTGATGGGGCGGTAGTTGTTGATATCAGTTATAGGCCTGTATTTTTAAAGGGGCGCAATAAAAGACTTCACCAAGCAGGTAGGGTATGTCCCATGACTTAGTGAAATTGAGTATAACTTGAGAAGTAGTTAAGTTGAAGAAATTACCACCGTTTTTCAGCAAATTGAAAATATACTGTCTGGACCAGGAGTATTACTAAGCTTAAGATTTGCGATAGCTTTATCGATCCCTAGTGTGGTGAAAAGTATCTCACTTAGACATTTGTCTGTTTTACGCGGGAAATCCACGATCTTATCGTTATCCAGGGTGTATAGTCTGGTAAAGTGCTCGCTAATAAGTTCACATATCACCTCAGTATTCTCTTAAGTAATGCCGTCTAAGTATTTTATTTTTGCATAGGCTGTTTTGGAGTTTGTTAGCCTACTTTTTAAAAGTTTGGCTATTTCTCCTGGGTTATGCGGTGGCTGAATGGCCCGCATTTCTTTGTTTCTGAGGCTTATATATTTCAACTCTTGAATTTTAGTGGGAAAGGACGTTATAGTAATTGACGGTGATAAGTCATGATATATGTAGTACTTGATTGAGTGCTTTCGTAGACTTCTCCTTGACGATGTCGGAATATAATCGCTTTGGGGGAATTTGAAGCTAAGAATCTTTTCAGGTGCAATGACATCATGAATTGACTTGATATTGTGATAGAAATTGTTGAGAGGTGCCTCTAAGGACTCGTTCGAAAAGTACGAGTGCTAATTAGAGCATCTAAATAGATGCTGATACAAGTCCTAGTCAGCATTTGTGTATGATCTCATAGGTGCCTGATCGGCTTCACCTTTGAGTATTGTTTCAGGGAAGGTGTTTAAAGAACACACTAATATTTTGTGGTCACTGCCTGGAAATTCATCTCTCATACGTACTGTACATGGTGTTATGTTGTTCGTGAAAATAAGATCTAGGATATTTGCGACTCTAGTGGGTGAATATATGTGTTGTACCCACCCTACTGTGACGGTAGAATTCAGGAGACTATCATACATTTACTTCTCACAACTGGGAAGTACTTACCAGGGTTCCCATCTGAGTGAACTTAGGCGCAAGATTTGCAGCTAGTACACCTTCAATCCAGGTGATTAACTTGATTCTTGAGGAACGTATTTCAACACTCATCCATCTGAAGTCTACCATCTAACTTTCCTTATATTCAGGATTGTTTACGGGGCTCTTTCTCTGTACACTATCAAAGTATCAATACGCACTAAACATGTATCCGGTAAAAAGTGTAGTCTAATCTAACTATCAGACTACGATTTTCATTTTCAAGAACCTAATTCGCGAAATGAACAGATATGGCACTGATGAAGACACTACAACTGTATAAGAGAAAGTAATTGGGAGAAACAGAATCGAACAAGACGTTACTAATTCCTTCGGTGCCACGCCATACTAGGAATTGTGCCAATACTGGATTAGTTTGTGTTAAGAAGCGAGCGGCTTGTTTATTTTAGCGCTGTCCATCTTCCACAATAGTGTAAATAAAGTCTAAATGTGCAATGTATTATTATTTTACGCTTAATAGTAATTAAATTATGCAGTTTCATTTTTGAACAAATTTTGTTTAAATGAGCTCAGGTTGGAGTGCAATGGCGAGTTTCGCCATTAGAACTAGGATTATCATTCGCTCAGTTCACGCCTAGCTGACCGGACAAGATGGAAGCTGTTGCTGCACACAAGGATGAGGTTGTAAGTCAGTTTAGTTTTCTCGTAATGTTTGCACAAGACTCCCGTTGAGTCGAAAATTGATGACTTGAAGAGAAAGTCCGTGGATGCGAAGGACATAGATCATGATACAAAGAATGGCAGTGACGAACCAGTTGTCAAGAAAGTCAGAAAAGGTATGATGATGATGCACAAAACTTTACGTCTTTTCAGATGGGAATGAAGCCGGAGATAATGCTAGTGATGAGAAAGTTACAAGCCCAACTTCAGAGAAACAAGCAGATGGTGAGTCAGATGAAGATGACACACAAGGTAAGTAAGGGTAGCTTTTGTAAAATTAGGACATTACATGGCTCGAGTTTTGCTAATAAGTGTTGAGTCTAAAAACTTATGCAGACCATCTAAGTGATTGCTTTTAATTTTAGATGACGCGTCACAAGACACCAAAGAAACAAATGGTACAAGTAAGTGGTTTCCTCCTACTTACCGTTATTTTTAGGCGAACATCTAAATGGAAGTAATGGGGAACATGTTAGTGAACATCAGGAAGAAAGTAAAAGCGACTTTTTCTTATGCGTTGTTCTAGAATCAAATGATGGGACTGAGGCTGATTCGGAGAAGGGCGATGACGCTTCGGCCGACAAGGAATCAAATAATCAGGCCAGCGATTAACTTTGGCATTTCTTCGCACTCCAGGCATTTATGTCTTTTGATAACGTTTTTACCGATTTTTATTCTAACCCGGCAGCTTTTGCACAAGTTTATTATTCTCCCATATTATACATTAATAGATGTTTGGACTCATTTTCATTGGAGCGAAGTTCTTTCAACTTGAGATTATTGTTGTTTTTTGGTTTGTATTGTTGAAATGTTACACATGTTCAAAATACAATGATATTCCAAGTTATTTATTTATTATTCTCGACTGCTACGTCATAACTAGTGTACGTCTTCCAAATGCTATACATAGAAACGTGCGTTAGTTCCCTATTGTAAACAGACGTAAGTGTATGAGTACTCACCCTACCTTGACCACTCGACGTGCGCTAAATGTAAACGGAACTGTAGGTTTAGCGAAAAACCCTAGGATTCTCTTGCAATTACCTCATACGCTTTCGGACCAAATCGTATTTATGTCGCTGTTCAACCTATGGTTCAGTTTCCCTGATGAGTTATCAGGCTTCCTTAGAGTTGACCATCCGGAAAATACCTTCAAGTAATCGTGACAATTTCATCCCTAGACCTGACTCAGCCTCATGTCTACTGTGCATAGGGATTTCTGATATCTTAAGTGATCTCCCTGTCGTGTTACGCAATCTGTACCAACGCATGAATTGTATATCAGTTTCGTCATCGATGTTTCCAGTTGAGATCTGATAAGACGTTAATGTAGTTGGAAATGTATAGTTAGTCAAATACTGTTTTCGTATTGTTGATCTAAGCATTTTTGCAGGAATAGGTAAAATATTAGCTACCACTAGAGGTGAATATTTTAAGTCAGATGACTGCTGATGCATAACTTCTACATGACCTAACCCGAGTGAACTTGAAACTGAAATATTTCATGGTAATGAGGATACTACAGTTAACTCATAATTTACTCACCATAGTAATCAAGTATACATAGAGTATATCTACAAACCTGTAAGTTCTGTTGGATATAAATAAATATTTATTGTGGAAACTACGGTTTCAATGTCACGTCACCAGTCAAGCGTTAGTGAGAAATGTGTGCGCTTTAAACTGTTATTTAGCTTTACGAACAGGTGAAACAAGTGATTTTATTCTCGGATTTTGACTACAGCGACCATGTTGGTAATAGGTATTTTCGTTGTATGTTACTTAACACCACTCATTGATTGATGATAATAAACAAAATGTTCGCAATCTACTTGTGTATGCGTGTACATACGTTTGAAGTAGAGATATTGCAAGTTAACTAGTGTTGTATCCTGTGCTTCATAGTAAGTATTTCTCGCTTCGAGTCGTTTGTCGATTACCCTATCCACATATTTCACGCCTATCCTGTATTTTAGCATAGATGCACTGCGTACACGCCAGCAACTCGTATGTTGTTGGGTAGTCTAGTTTCCACATGCACTGAACTGTCCGTCGGGAAAGTCCCTATCTTAGCTGTTTCGTCTAATAAGATGAGAGTCGTGTGTGGTCTAAGGTGAAGTTTCTTAGTTGCTTACCAGAAGATAACCAGCACTCTGTTCGAGCCTAGGCATGTTAACTCTCTATTCGACGGGGACGCGTTTCATTCCTCTGGTGTTGTCAATCACTGACCTATATAGCAAGGAAAACGCTTGGTTTTGTGATAGTGAGGAGAGTAGTGTTACTTTTAGGGTAACTTTTGGACTGACAATGAACGACGACTAATTTATTCGTCGAAAGTTATCGATGTCAGTTGATGTGGTCTCAAATTTCTCAGTAGGAATTATTAAATTAATGAAGTTTGAGAGGCAGGAAATATATATATATGCCACCACCGCCTGCACTGTTGAACGTAACACTGTCGTATTCATCCAGGATGTTTCGAGTTTCATGGTATCGTGACAATGCAGTAATATGTCGGAATAAATTGCATTACGTATGTTCGACGGTATTTGAGACGTTCGGATTAGTTGTCTTTCTGGAGGGCGTTTCCATGTGTATGCTTAGCCAATGGGAGTATCTACTGTCCGGACACGTTTGGTGAGGATTCGGTCACCATACCATTAACAGCTCAGTAAATAAGTACGACGTCCACCACTTCAACTATGTACCCCTCGAAAATTAAATACGATAAACAACAACAGTGTGAACTCGGTTTTTTTTCCTGGAAGTGTTACGCGTGGTCTTTTCACAACTAGAGTTTTACTCTGGAATCATTGTATTTTCCCTACATACATGTAAACAGTTCTGATCGTTAAAGGTAGTCTCAAAGTTGTGTGCGGGTACATTTGATTCTTAGGCTTCAACTAATGAACTCTTGTTTGAAGTCCTGCACTCTGAGGTAGTCTACAAGTGGATAGTTCAGATGCGCTTTTTTGTATATCTTAATCTGCTTTTTGTCATCGATGTTTCCAGTTGAGATCTGATAAGACGTTAATGTAGCTGGAAATGTATAGTTAGTCAAATACTGTTTTCGTATTGTTGATCTAAGCATTTTTGCAGGAATAGGTAAAATATTAGCTACCACTAGAGGTGAATATTTTAAGTCAGATGATTGCTGATGCATAACTTCTACATGACCTAACCCGAGTGAACTTGAAACTGAAATATTTCATGGTAATGAGGATACTACAGTTAACTCATAATTTACTCACCATAGTAATCAAGTATACATAGAGTATATCTACAAACCTGTAAGTTCTGTTGGATATAAATAAATATTTATTGTGGAAACTACGGTTTCAATGTCAGGTCTAGTTGCTTGGGAATATGCATATTCCTATTTGTTTTAGTGTTTTTTGTCTCTAACTTTTGGACATTTCAGTTAATCTTTTGATCCACTTCTGCGATGAAATTTATGAATAATTTGAATTCGTATTCGCTATATATTTTGGTGCATACTCAAACCAATTACAGTGGATTTGCTTAAAATATATATATATTCTTATTCTGATATCCTTCATTGTATTTGTAACACTATACTTATTTTGCTTATTTCGCTCGACATTTTCAGTATTTTTGCTGAATATATTCAAATCTCAATCGAAATGGCTCTGTCTTGAATTTTCTTTCTTGAATATAATTGTGAACTTCTGCCATTCTCTCTCTAAGCACCTTTTGCTGATCCTTTTTAAGCAAATTTAAACATGTATAACCAACTTAAAGGATTAATATACACCTGAAGCTTATTATCGTAAATCATCTGTAGACTGTTTACTGAGAAAACCTTGCATTAACAATAAAAGTACTCACATTAACTTGATGCTGGAACAAGGCTTATCTATATTAGAGCTGACTGACGAAAAATAACGCCGATTACTGTCAAACAAAAAATACTCAAATTATCCAACTATAATCGTTTCACAGTGTTCTACAACGATATACAAAACTCTCAGATTCACTGAGTGTCATTTTAAAATGACACAAACTACACATAACACATATGTCATCAGTAGTTTTTGTTTTTATCTGGATATTAACTTCAGTTAAGTTTTTAATACTTATCTGAGTTCAAATGTTTATTTTATCATCCAATCTCTTAGGATTAACAATCTTCAGTTGGACAGCATACACTTTGATGGATTCAAGATAAACATTTTTCCTTATAAGATAATAAATAACAAAAACTGTCAGTAAAAAGTTTGAGCATTGTAGAATAGATCGAATAAAGTATAATTATATTTCAATGGTTTGTGTTTTTTGATAGTATTTCGAGCAATAAACAAAACAACAGTCGGTGTGAACATGGGCAGTAACTTTGTTCGAAATATTAGCAATAACAAAAACTTATCATTTTGTCTAAACCACTGAAATATAATTATACTTTATTTAATAAAAACTGCGGTTAGATGTGAAGTAAGTTAAGCAGTCATCTATGTTTACCAATGAGTGCAAAATGTTTTCTCTAATTTATTAGACGAATAAAATTCCCATCCAATGGGTGTGAAAAAATTATCTATATCTATCTATGTGGTAACTTATTTTGTTCCATTAATTTTTGATGTGAAAAATTTGATTAGAATGATGATTGTTGTATTCCAGAGTGATTTTGACAATAGTTGATGCACCTCACAATGCTGTTGAGTTATACAAAGTGATGATAGCCATCATGTCTACCGTAACCGACATTTATCTTTTGATTGTGAGCCGTAATTCCATCATATACGTGTGTATATGTATTTATGCAAACATCGTTTTCTGTGCTTATATACAACCTACATGGATTTGCATTGATTCGGATAATCTTTTTCACACCTACTGAATGAATTTTTCTCGTCTAATAAACATAGATGACTGCTTATAGCTTAATTCGCATGTAACTGCAGTTTTCATTGTTTGTTATCTTACTGGGGAAAATATTTATGTTGAATTCATCAAAGTGTGTAACACGCCAGTGAAGATTGTTAGCCCTAATATAAAGCGGATAATTTGCCTATTCTTTCCATCCTACTGGCATATGGCAAACAAATAAACGAAACAAGAGTATCATACACGAAAATAAAGGTAGGCAGTTTTCATATCCTGGTGGTAAAAATAATATATCAAGAATTTTACATGTTCGCTATGAACGAGTAGTCTGAAATGTCTATATATTATCAAAGTACATACTCCAGTATGGTATTACCTGTTCCACGACAGACTATTATTGTCGTATTATCATATGCAGCATTGTGATGCTTACTTTCATTATTTATTACCACCTTCTTTACATCCGTATCGATGATTTAAGTTGAAAAGCTTTAAGACTTGCACTAGACCCTATCCTGTTGTCTACAGAGAATTGTTCTTTATCATTTATTCCAAGTGATACTAACGTCCAGTCAAATACTGAACACTTAATTGAGGCTGGAGCTCAGATGAATCAATTATTCACATGTGAAACCTCTGGTTTAGATTTATTTCAAAATCAATACGGGAGTCTGAGAAAGAGAAACAGTCTTTTCAAATATAATATAATGGGTGTCTTTAGTTTGAGATGAATTCCTCTCAGAATGCTTTAAATTAACAACTAGATATTCTTATCAATATACAATAACACACTATTTTATTTCTTGGATGAAGTCATTTTTTTTTTTTACAAGTTATCAAGACGAAGGGGAGGGAGCACGTGAATAATTAATTAAGACATTAGTGTTTTCTTCTTTATGCTGTCATGGTGACTACACGTTTTTGTTCACGTGAAATGGTAATGAAATATATTTGTAATATAACTCACCTAACTGTAACATTACTACCTTAAGCATGGGGAGG